TATACACCATGGAATACTATGCAGCCATAAAAAAGGATGAGTTTGTGTCCTTTGTAGGGACATGGATGCAGCTGGAAGCCATCATTCTCAGCAAACTATCGCAAGAACAGAAAACCAAACACCACATGTTCTTACACATAGGTGGGACTTGAACAATGAGATCACTTGGACACAGGAGGGGGAACATCACACATCGGGGCCTATTGTGGGGAGGGGGGAGGGATAGCATTAGGAGATATACCTAATGTAAATGATGAGTTAATGGGTGCAGCACACCAATGTGGCACATGTATACATATGTAACAAACCTGCACATTGTGCACATGTACCCTAGAACTTAAAGTATAAAAAAAAAAAAAGTGCAATCATTTCCTAGGGCTGCCATTAACAAATCACTGCAAACATCTGCAGCTTCAAACAGCAAAATTTATTCTGTTCTGGAAGCCAGAAGCCCAAAATCGAAGTGTCAGTGGGGTTAGTTCCCCCAAGAGGCTCTGTGGGAATCTGTCCCATTCCTCTTCCAGCAACTGGTGGCTGCTGGCTCTCCTTGGTGTCCCTTGGTGTGTAGCTGCAGCACCCCAATCTCCGCCTCTGTCTTCACGTGACCTTCTTGCTGTGTTTGAGACTTCCCTCTTTTCTTATAAGAACAGCAGCATTGGATTTAGGCCATCCCCAATCAAAGATGATCTCATCTCAAGATCCTCAGTTACATCTGCAAAGATCCTGTTCCCAAATAAGGTCGCATTCACAGGTAGGAGGGATTAGGATGTAGACATGTCTTTTCGGTTACTTGTGTGTCAATGGGATGTGTGGTGTGGGCTGTAAACTTGGAAGGCAGACGAGAGCCCCTGATGGCCCAGAGCTCGACTGTCTCTCTGCCTCGGCACGGTGGCTACAGGCTACTCCTCTCACAGTAGGACAACCCCCACCCATAACGGGACAGGCCTTAGGCAGCCTCAGCTTTTTGGGGACAGGGTGGGGAGTGTTTTCTGTGATTTACAAGGTGGATGAAGTTCGGCTGTGTCACACAGCTCCAAGGAGAAAGGACCGCACACGTGCTGTTGGCCTGGCAGGCTGCTCTAGGGGTGGGGGGTGCATGGTGTCTTTTGTGCTCTGAGGTCCTTTGTTTTCTTTCTGCTACACTTTCGCAATCCATCCAGCAGAGCCTGCCCCTGGTGCCACTGAGACCCTCACCTGCCAGGCACCCTCAGCCAGGGCAGGGGACTGCCTCTTTCCCACTGCCAGCATCCTTTGCTTGGTCCAGCCTCCTGGTCACAGCACGTTCCAGGGCCCAGCCATGACCCCTTACCCAGGTGCTCGCTTCTCTAGGCCAAACCCCTAGCCTCACTCCAGATTCTGACCTCGACTACATTCTCAGAAATGCCCAGCTTATATCTTGGAAACTTATTTCTCATTAAGTAAAATATTTCCATTGTGAAAAAGATTAGAAAACAGGTAAGAAAAAACCTTATAACCCCCAAACCAAGAAACTGTTAATGTTTGTACATTTTATGGCCTTTTTCTCCATCTATAAAATATCTTATTTGTTGTTTGTATTTTTTTTTTTTTTTTTTTTTTTTTTGAGTCTTGCTCTGTCGCCCAGGCTGGAGTGCGGTGGTGCGATCTTGGCTCACTGCAAGCTGCGCCTCCCGGGTTCACGCCATTCTCCTGTCTCAGCCTCCCGAGTAGCTGGGACTACAGGTGCCCAACACTACGCCTGGCTAATTCTTTTGTATTTTTAGTAGAGACGGGGTTTCACTGTGTTAGCAGGATGGTCTCGATCTCCTGACCTCGTGATCTGCCCGCCTTGGCCTCCCAAAGTGCTGGGATTACAGGCGTGAGCCACTGCGCCCAGCCTGTTTGTATTTTTAGAAGTGCCACCCAGTACCACCCTGTGCAGCCACCTGTGGTGATCCTGCATACACTTTTGGAAACTTTTTTTCCCCTAATACTATAATGTGACCATCATGTTATGGTAAACTTTTTATATCAATAAATATAGCTCTTCGTCATTTTGAAGGCTGCATAGCATTCCATGTGCCAGAATGTGTTCAACCAACCTCCCCCCGTACTGATGAGCATTTATATTGTGTCCATGTTTTTGTATCATTATGCATGCCACATCAGTGTCCTTACATATATTTATGAATGTAAGTATTCTTTAGGTCAAATTCCTAAGAGTGGATCACCTGGGTTAAAGATGTCACTGCACTCCAGCCAGAGACCACTGGGACCAGTGGCTGAGCAAGTTGGGTTTATTGCTCGTTACAAAAATGAGCCAGGCACATGCCACAGGAAGCCCTGAGCATCTCAGTTGGAGGGTCTTCGGAAGGCTGCAGGCAAAGGATTCGGACTTGGGTTAGTCACTCCAGGGAGGATTTCAGGAAGCTGGGCTTTGGTCTGGCAATTCTAAGACTGGGTGCCTCGATAAATCTGACCTACAAGAAGAGAGGACTGGAGTAAGAGAAAGCTGCAAGCGGTAGAGAAGCAACAGTCATGCATATTAGCCAGAACTGAGAGAGAGTTGGTCCTTTTTTGTGGTTTGGATGATGTCCAGTGTGGCTGCAGACATTTGCGGAGTGGGCTGGTTTTTGTTTTTTAATTCACTGCAGTCCAAGTGGCCTGTCTGGTGCTGATGTTTTGTGAAATGGTTTACGGCCTCAGCCCAGCCATGAGTGCCAGGTCAGCCCCTGGATGCCAGGGGCTGCTTTTCTCTTTCTCAAAGGGTTTGCACATTTTTAAAGTTTGGGAAGCTCGTTGCCAAATAGCCTTCCTCTAAGGTTGTACTGATAGATGGCCCTTTCCCTCCCCTCTCAGTAGTCTGTACATTTTGGGGTGTGTGATCCAGCCCTTGGGCTGCGCTCTTTCTGCCTGTCAGCCCAGCTTAGCGAGGAGGAGGGAAGAGACATCCAGAATAGTGGTTGGAGTAAATAGTATAACTATGAGAAAATGTTTATTGTTTTCCCTCCATGCTGTGATTACACTTGTTCTCAACTAATTTGTTGTGCTGTCTACAAAGCCTCCAGTGAAAGAACATTTCTATTTGCTGTTACAGGCAAGCGTCTGAACTGCACAGACCCTGCCTGACTGCCATCAAAATTACAGTGCCCAGAGCAGATCAACTCAGGGAAGCAGTCAATTCCCCTGCAGAATCGTGTCTTAACAGAGCTTATGTCTCTCTGGATAAGAGTAACTCAGGCTGAGAAGCGAGTGGCCCCAGAATGTAATGGATCATTCCTGTAGCTGGAGACCTATGTCATGGGTCTGACAATGCCCATTCTGTGCAACTACTAAGAAGGTTAGAGAAGATGATCGCAGCTGCTGGGCACATGGTAAAGCTTAATCCGTGGTGGAGATGATCATGTCAATGAAGATTATACGGACTTGGCAAAGAAGTGGTAAGGGTCTTTGTGGCCTGGGACTCTGGAGAAGTAGGCCAGCTCTCTTGGCCCCGAGGGGTTTAGCCAGGCCTGCCTCATGTCCTGGGGGCAGGGGCGAGCTATAGAAAGATTCCTCCATCGGGAGAGGGGGTTTGCCTCAGTTCTCCTCCTACCCAGGGGCTGCACGTAGGTGCCTTTGTGGATGGAGACGTAGAGGTTGGATCAAGTTTGCACTGTGTGCAATTATAGCCCACACAAGCGAATGGGAAACTAAATCCCAGAATCCCAGGCTTGGCCTCAGGCCCACCTCCATGCTTGGCTGCCTCGCTGCCCCAGCATCACCAGGCTGCGGCTCCGTTCCTGGGATGCTCCAGGAAGTGGCGTGCATCAGCTCACCCGTCTTGTTAGCACGCTTTGCAGTGGGCCCTAAGCAGTGTGTGTTTCTATTCAACTGGCTTCTCTTTTGAAACCCTAAAGAGCTGTGTCAAGGTGCGCAGGGGTATGAGTTGGGGGAGGCACCCACGAGAGAGGGCTGGGGTGATGACTGCGCTCTCTTCGCCACTCCCCCATGGGTGATCGGACTGGAAGGTGGAGAGGAAAGCTCACCGCAGAGGCTGCACCAGCCCCTGGTGAAGCACTGG